CGAGGCCAGCGGCTCGGCCCCCCGGCGGCACCGGCGTGGACGAGCGGGGGACACGGCACGGGGCAGGGCTGGACCCTCGTGGGCACAGCGGGACCCCCGCGGCAGGAGCCGGAGCCCCGCGGGTCCCGCAGGACCAAGAGCGACGGTCCCGGGTACCGGAGCGGGGGCTCTGCGCTCCTCCCGGAGGTTCCGAGCGCTTCCCACCCCCGGCCCGAGCTGCAGCCCTGCGTGGCTCAGAGCCACGCGGGTCAGGGTCCTTATGGCCACGCTGTGACATCCCGGCTGTGACAAGCGCAGGGTGCAGTGTCCAGGCTGGGGACACACGCGTGGATCCCCCAGATCTTCTGCGTACGGGGGTTCTGTGCTCCCCCAGTGCCTGTGGGGGACCCCGCGCCGCGGAGGAGCTCCCGGCACAAACTCTCMCAGTTCATTCCCTGGTCACGCTGCTCTGTCCCCTCCCAGCCCTCGCTCTGCCGTTAACACTCGTCCCCCTTGGCTTCCCTGTTTGCTTCACTGCTTTTCACACTAAGTTCAATATTTTTCTTCCCGTTCCCCCCTCCCAGTCCCCGCTGCCTCTCTCCTGACTCCAGCCCTCTCGTCCGCCCGGGGCTCGGCTTCTCCGAGGCTGCAGCGTCAAATCAAAAGAGATCAAAAGCCGGCAATGAAGTCTGCAAGACCCCGTGCCAGGGAGCGGAGGAGAAGGGTCATGGAAGGACGACAAGGCAACGCTGGGAATGCGGTTTCTCTCCAGGACCAATAGTTCCTGGAGGGGAAAAGAAATTTGCTCCTYTCTCCAAATAAATACGGCTGGCCGTGGGCGCGGGGAGCGGGGATGCTGCTCAGCACAACCCCAGGCTGGTCCCCTGCTCGTGCCTCCGCCCAGGCAGGGACAAGGACAAGGACAGTGGCCCCAAGGGCTCTTCAGTGGCCACCCCCCACCTTGGCACCGGGGATGAGCTGTGGCACCCCAAATCCCTGGAGACCCGCGTCATCCTGCTAGCAAAAGAGACAATGAGGTATCACGTGTATTTCCATCTCTTTTTTTTATTTCCCTTCATTTTTCCACTGAGCAGGATTTTCCCTGCCCAGGACATCCCCGGCTGAAGGAGCCTTTGGGGAAGGGGCTCAAGGACAGGGTGGGATTGTCCTGGGGGTGCCCTGTGCAGGGCCAAGAGCTGRACTCAGTGATCCTTCCCACTCCAAATATTCTCTGATTCTGTGCCGGTCCCAGATTCTGCAGCTGAGGCTGGAAGAGCAACAGGAAACTGCTGTGTCCAGTATCCGCTCGGAGATCCTGCGAGCATCGGCACAGCCGGGAACCGTCCCAAATACCCGGGGAACCCTCGCGAACATCCAGGGGACCCTCCCAAACACCCGGGGAACCCTCCCGAACACCCAGGGAACCCTCCCAGACCCCCAGGGAACCCTCCCAAACACCCAGGGAACCCTCCCGAACACCCAGAGGGCGAGCGGGCCCCCCGTTTTCAGCACTGCGAGAGCAGGAGAGGGATTCCCTCTTTCTGAGGGGTCGAGTCTCCAGGCTGGAGCTCTCCCTGGGCATTCACACAAGGGAGAGGAGACTCCTTGTCTCAGACACACCCAACGCAGCACCGCACAGGGACACCSCAAAAAACCTCAGTGTACAGGGCTCAGCCACCTCCTTTCACCGGATGAACCCTAAATGAAGAAATTTTCGTCTCCAGGAGCTCCAGTACCAGCCCTGGAGTCGCATCCCTGACACGCTGAAGCAACCAAACCACGGTGCCTGATCTTCAAAACTTCAGCCTCTAAATTCCCTCCAAGAACAGTGAGAACCTTGTCCAAGCCGGGACGTGTGGAATCCCCTGCCCCAGCCCCGCTCGGAGCAGAGCAGCTCAAGCAACACTTTCCACATACTTTGAGCCCCACGGAGTCCRGGTTCTTTCAACTTCTTCCAAACCCCTGTCCGTGCTTTTCCAGCCCCGACCCCTCCTGATGCCTCCGGCCCAGGAGACAAGGCAACGCGTTTGAAACTGCATCAGCACGGTGCTGGATGCCAAATCCCTGCGTCCCTCCTTCCCACTGGAAGGTAAAAATCCTCCTTAACCACTGCGGGTGCAGGGAAAGACAACAAGCACGAGACTCTCTCAATTCCTTTCACTGGGATCCAATAAAAACCTTGGCAGTGGCCGTCCTTCCTGCCGGAAAGGCGATATCCCAGGAATAAACACAYTTTGCGCTTTGAAGGGCTGCAGCAGGATCTGCCTGCGCCGAGCTGCTCCGGGTGTCCCGGGCTCCCACCTGCCTGCAGCACCCGGGAGTGACCCACAGCTCCCGATTTCTGCTGCTTTGGCACCTCCCCGAGGATGAGGATGAGCCATTTCCCAGGAGTCAGAGAAGGAGCAGCAGCGATTCACCCTCCCCAGCACCAGCAGCGCGTTTATCCCTCTCAGGGGCAGCCAAATCTGCACATGGAGGCGTTCCGAGCCCCCGCGAGTTTTCACCGGTGCCTGTGAAGTCCTGAGGTTTTGGGGGGTCAGTCTGGTCAGTCCCCATCCAAGAAGGGTCACCCCAGGGGACTGTTGGCAATCCTGGGGTGCAGAGGGGACATCGCCCGCGCCATCGGCC